GGGCGGTCTGACCTGGGTCGGGTCGCAAGAGATGAGCCCCCCTTAGCCAGACGCATCGGGAATCTTGGCATCAAGCGGCCGCCCCCTCTTCGATGTTGGCGCCTGGTGGCACACTGGGAATTGAAAAAGGACTCGGGATTGCCAGTTCCGACGGCATGCGATCGCTCGGGCGCCAGCAGTATAAAGGGCGCAGACGGCATCTGGATCATTGAACTTGCCCAATGCTTTCGCAGATCCGCTCTCGCGGCCCGGTCGAGCCTGCGGCCGCGACAATCGCGTTGCCCCGGGCCCCTGGAATATTGGTTGAGGTTACTTCGTCGAGGGAGCGGAGGCTTTGGCAGAGCGCGGAGAGGCCCACCGCGGCCCCGATCCCGCCCCCGAGGGAACGTTTGCCGCCAAGCGTCTGGGCTCGACCCCAAAGGCTCTGAGTGAATTCGTACATGAGTGGTTCATAGTCGATGTCTTCTGCTTCAACCTCGAGCATCCACCGCTCGTTGGTCGCGGGGGAAGCCCAAGTCCAACAGGTCTGTTCGGTGGCAGTCCGTCCAGAGTCAAGCGCTGCGGCGACCCCCCCACTTCGTTCGGCCTGCGGTCGCGTCTCCAGCGGGCGATCTGCGGCATCTCCGCCAGGCTCTTGGCCACCTTGGGCCAGGCCCTCGCCAGCCGACGACTCGCGTGCTCACTGCCTTGCTCGCGGGTACATGATGGGGAAAGACGAACTCTGAGCATAGCCCCGCGAGCTCGCTGCTGAATTCTCGAGCTCGGTCGAGGGCGCGCGGCCGCCCGGCGCGGGGCGGGGGCGCGCGGCCGGGCAGAACGCAGCCTTGCGCCCCCAAGCGGCCCTCGCGGGCGTTCGAGGAGCACGGCGGCAAAGACGACGAGGACGCGGCAGAGGACTATTCCGAGGAGAATGGGGAGGAGCAGGACAGAGCCATTGGCGGGAAGTCCATCCCCCCGCGCTCACCCCCAGCGCCGCGCCCCTGCCGCGCGGCCGCCCTGGGGGGGGGGGGCGCGGCCTCGCCGCGCCGCCGCGCCGTCGGCGGCGGGCGGCCGGCGCTCCTCCCGGAACGCCCTCATCCACGATGGGGGTCAACAACAGCGCGCGCGTCTCCATCCATGCGCGGGAGATCAATCGCGACTGCGACCTTGTGTGACCCGCAGGGCGCGCATCATCGAGGCCAGGGGCCCCCGCCGCGCTTCGGGGAGGCACGCCGTCTACATTGCCGAGGCCAGATGCGACCTGGGCGACGCGGGCGCAAGGAGATGCAGCGCGCAGGAAGAGTCGCCCAACGTCGGACACCACAACACCTCAGCAACATCTTGATCATCGCCACGACCGCCGTCGAAAAGGCGCATTACTCGCGCGGCGAGCAGCCCGATGACTTGCGCGGCGCCAAGCGCGACAGTTCGGGCGACCGCAACGCCGAGTGCGACGCGAAGCGCGACCAGCGCCGCGAGCACGACGGCAAGTGCGCTGCCGGGGTCGTCGGCAGGCGCGGCGGCGATCGCGGCGGCGTGGGCCCGTCCGCGGCCGTTCGCAGGTCAGGCCAGATCGCGGTCAATCTGGCCGCGGAGCCTTCGCAGCACATGACCCGGGAGCGCCTCGGCGAGCAGGGCCCCCAGGCGAGCATGGGACAGTGCCGGGGCGACCTGGCGCTTCATCTTCAGTTGACTAGTCGACGGAACCAGCGTGGACTCCGATGACAACTTGGCCTGCTATTACGCCCTCCAGAGCAAGCGCGCCCACCGGGGCTGCGACGGCCGCCGGGGCCACGATTGCCAGCGGTGGCGCAAGCGGAGCTTCGACGGTCAGTCGAGGGCCATTGGCAGAGCATCGACGGCAACAAAGCAGGGCTTCGAGGGCCGCCAGCTGAGCCTCGAGGGCCACCGCAAGATCTTCAACGGCAAGAATCAGATCGCCTCAAGACCCGCCAGCTGAACTTCGAGGACCACCGGCAGAGCAACGACGGCGAGAGGCGAAGCTTAGAGGGCCGCCAGCTCAGCTGCAACTGCCACCAGCTGAGCTTCGAGTCGCCAGTTGAGCCCCGAGGGCCACGGGCTGAGCTAGCAGGGCCGCGCGAAGAGCTGCGATGGGCCACGAGCAGGTTTACATGGGCCACCAGCCGAGCTGCGAGGGCGACGAGCAGAGCTTCGAGGACCACCGGCTAAGCTGCGAGAGCTGCCAGCTGGACTGCGAGAACCACCGGCATCAGCCTCCATGCCACCAGGCTGGAACAGCTCTCTCGACTAGCAGAGGCTACGCTGCTGCTGCCGTGCGGCCCCAGGCGCGACGGCGCGGGCGCCGCCGCGCGCGGGGGCCGCCGACGCACGCCTTCGTAGGCGCCTCAAGATGCCGCCGCGCCACGGATGCACATCGGAGGAATGCGCCACAAGAGCGCCGACAAGGAGTGCGACGTCGGGCGCGACGATTGCGAGGAGAACGACGATCACAGGGAGGCCCGAGCAGAGCTGCGATGGCCATCAGACCTCCGAGAGCGCCCAGAAGAGCCACGAGGGCCACCTGCTGAGCTACGGGGGCCACGAGTTGAACTACACGGGCAACAAGCAGACCCTCGAGGGCAACCAGCTGAGCTTTGCAAGTGATCTGCCGAGCTACATGTACCGCGAGATGGGCCGCTCGGACAACGGGCAGTATTTCGAGGGCCACCAGCTGAGCCGCCGCGGCCACCGACGGAAGTACGAGGACAACGAGCGTCGCTTCGAGGGCTACCGGCAGAGCTGCGAGGGCACGCAGCAAAGTTGCCACGGCTTCCAGCAGAGCTTCTTGAGACACTGGGTTTCGAGGGCCACCTGCCGAGCTAAGAGAACCGCGAGCTGAGCTACACGAGCGCCGAGCGGAGACTCGAGGGCCACCAGGTAAGCCACCTGGGCCCGCAGATCTACGAGAACCACCCTCTGCCCCTCGGGCTGCCAGAAGAGCTTCGAGGGCCACCCGCAGATCTTCAAGGACAACCAGCTGAACTACCAGTGCCGCCCGCCGATCCCCGAGAACCGCCGCCAGAACTATCAGGGCCATCTACCGACCACCAACGGAGCTACGAGGGCCGCGAGCCACGCCCCCCTCCTGGGCAGCCGTGCCGTTTTATTATTTTTGTTCGGGCCAGCGCCGGCGCGATTACTGCCCATGCTGGGTTGAAAGGCTTGTCTCACAATGCCCTACCCCCGTGCTGGTCCTTTCCATCGATCGACTAACTGTCCCGCCTTGGGAGACCTCTGCAATGTGCCAGCGACCCAGCATTGGCTGCCAGCGTTGGCTGCGATCAATGCGAGAGGGTGGGCGGCGAGGGTCGCTGCAGGCCCACTTGCGAGACGTGGGGAACTGCTCGCCGCAACCCCATTCCCTTCGATCGGCCTGGCCCTTGCCCGCGCCCCATGAGATCGTCTGAGCAGCTGCGGGGTTTGAAATATCCCAACAGTAAGGAAAGGGCCCAGGCCGATGTTGGCAACGTTCTCCTCCGGTCCAGCCAGGAATTCGTTGGGTTCGCTTGGGGGTTGGGCTTCCCGGCCGCCATGCAGCACCCTGCCCCCGCTTACCATCGACCTGGGGCCCGAGCAGTTGGCATCTTCCTATCCTTTGTCGGTTGGTTTCCCAAGAAGGCGTCGTGTTGCATCGCAATGATCAATGCATGTTCGGCCAGCGCGCCAAGAAATTGACCTCGCAATTGACTGTGTTGGCGCCGATGATGGGACAGCTGTTGAGAGAATTGCCACATGGGGGAAGATGCCAACGTCGAGCTCACGTCCAGGTTTTGGAAGGTAGGTCTTCCGATGGTTCGTGGGTCTTTGCCGGCGCGAAGACGTACCCCTTTAATGCGTGCCTTTTTCTTGCATAAGAAATGGTCGCGGCTGTCCAACAGCAGTTCGCTCCAGACCCTGGGCCGCTACCTTTCTAGTTTCGGATGATGTTCATCTCACCTTCGTCGCGCCCTTGGATCCATATCATGATTCCCAAAGGGCCGGAGCCTATCATCAGGATTCCCTGTCCCGCTCTCCCGACGCATTCTAGGTGCGCGCTGCACCATTCCTCTAGCAGTACCCTTGGGGGCAGTTTTCGTGCGCGGCCGGCTACCTGCAATACTCAGGCAAAGGTAGCTGTTCGTTCTCTTGGTTCAATACCTTCAGGAATCGCTTGAGCTGCCTCTGCGACGCCCCCTTAGTGATGGCTTTGCTTGTGAGTTCCCCAGGACGGGCTTCAACCGAACATGTGTGTGGGGGGGACCTTTGGTGGCATGGAGGATTTTATCGTTTCGCCTCCGAACTTCGCACGCTGTCGCGATCGCTGCCCATCTCTGCTACTCAGCCGCCGCTCCCGCTGCTTATTTGTACAAGTGACACAACGATTCGAGCCTTCTTTGGCCGACGGACCGACCGTCCGAGGAGGAGGAGGGGAACCACGCCGGGGGAAAGGAAAGAGGAGGAGCAGGCGGAGGAGAAAGAAGAGGAACAGGAGGAGGCCGACGAAGACGACGGGGACGCGGCAGACGACCAGGGACTAGGGGGAGGATGGGGGCGAAAGGGAGGAGGAGGAGGAGGAGGAGGAGGAGGAGGAGGAGGAGGGCGAGGAGGGGAAGGAGGAGGAAGAGGTGGAGGAGGAGGGGAAGAGGAGGAGGAGGAGGAGGAGGAGGAGGAGGAGGAGGAGGAGGAGGAGGAGGAGGACGGGGAGGAGGAGGACGAGGAGGAGAAGGAGGAGGAGGAGGAGGACGAGGACGAGGACGAACACGAGGACGAGATCGAAGACGAGGAGGAGGCGGACGAAGAGGAGGAACAGGAGCAGAAGCAGGAGCAGGAGCAGGATCATGAGCACCAGCAGGACCGGGAGCAGGAGCAGGAGCAGGAGCAGGAGGAAAGGGGGCAGGATTACGACGACGTCGACGACGAGGACGCGGAGGAGGTCGAGGGACCGGGTAAGAGAGGGAAGAGGACGAGGAGGAGCAGGATGGTTGGGACGACGAGGACGACGAGGAGAGTGAGCCATCCAGGCTCGCTTCCGCCAACTCGGTTCGCGACGGCGCCTGACGTGGCAGGCTCCTCCTGGGCGGTCGGAAACCGTTGTCGTCGCCGCCGCCAGCGCTGTCGTCGTCGCCGCCGCGTCAGCAAACGACCGGGCGATCAGCCCCATTCTCGTCCTGCTCTTCCTCCTCCTGCTCCTCCTTCTCCTCCTTCTCCTCCTCCTCCACCTCCTCGCCTCCTCCTTTTCCTTCTCCTCCTCGTCCTCCTCCTCCTTCTCCTCCCCCTCCCCACCCGCTTCGTCCCCCCCATCCTCCTCTTCTTTCTCCTCCCATCCTCCTCCCCCCTCCTCCTCCTCCTCCCTCCTTCCTCTCCTCTTCGATTTCTCTCGTCATCTCCCCTCCTCCTCTTCCTTCCTCCTTTCCTCCTCTTTCCTGCCCTTCCTCACTTCCTCTTCTTCCCCTCTTCCTTCATCCCCCTTCTTCGTTTCCCCGTTCTCCTCCTCCCATCCTCCTCTCCTCCTCCCCTCCTCCTCCTCCTCCTACTCCTCCTCCTCCTCTCCTCCTCCTTCCTCACTCTCCTCTCCCTTTCCTCCTCCTCCCCCCCCTCTTTGCCCCGCCGCGTTCCTCCCTATTCCAGGAGCCACAGTCCTCCCGACCCGCAGTCTCCCAGAGGTCCCGCTTTATCCTCGTCCGAATTTGCCTCCACCGTGCCTCTGCTTTCCTAGTGGGCGGGTCGCGGTAGGGGCACCCCTGAGCGGGCGATTAGCATGCCCCGTGGGTGCTCCCTCGGCCACCCTCAACGACGAGACCAGCCCATATAGGATTTGACCCCCTGATGCCTTGAGATATATATATATATATATATATATATATATATAGCAGTTCACTGCACTGCCGTGAATTGAGAATCTTTCCCTGGGAGTAGGTGCCCTCTCGCCAATCGATTGCGAAGGCCTCAAGGCCGTTGCCGCCGACCCTGAAGGGGGACGACGACGACGACGGCGGCGGTTGCGGCGGGGACGACGACGACGCTGACGTGGGCCCGAGTCCTCAGGGATGTTTCTTGGGGTCTCTTGGGAAGGCTCTCGGGGGCCTCTTGTGAGGAATTTTGGAGGGGTCTCTTGGGAACCTCTTGGAGGCATGTTGGGAGCCTCTTGGGGGCCTCTTCGGGTAGCCCAGGGTCCTGTTGTGGGCCTCTTCGGACCTCTTGGGGACCTCTTGGGGCCTCCTGGGAGCTTCTCGGGGCCGAGGTCTCGAAATGTCCGTTTGGGTCCCCCGTCAGGGCACGCTCTTGGAGCCGTCTTGGGGGCCTCGTGGGCCGTCTTGGAGGCGTTTGGGGCTGTCTTGGGGCGCTCTTGGAAGCCTCTTGGGCCGACTTGGGGCGATATTGAAGGCCTCTTCGGCCGTCTTGGAGCGGCGGGATGCGGAAAAGGCGAGAACGCCCAAATCTTTCAAAAACCTACATATGGAAAACAATGAATTTTGGCCCCTGGGGCCCTCCCAGGAGTGACTTTGGAGGTGCCTCCTCCAGATAGGCAACGCTGAGGCGCTGCTCGCAGCCATCGGCACCGGAGGCCTGGCCAGCAGGTAGCTGCGCCGCTCGCGCAGCAAGCTGCTCCACAGCAGCACCAGCAGCCGCACTACGACGGCGAGCGCGGCGAGAGCGGCTAGCGCTGCAGACGGGCAGACAGCCCCGACCCCACCGACGACGACGCAACCGGCGTGGGCAACCACGCCCGCCGACGACGACGTTCACCGAGCCCCCCCACAAGAACTGCCGACCCCCGTCTTCCGTTCCCCCCCCCTTCGGCCCCCCCGCCTCCCCTTTGGGTCGGCCGCCCTCGCTTGCCGGTGGCGCCTCATCGAGGGGGCCTCCTCCTCCTCCGCTGCCTCCTCCTCCCTCCCTCCTCCTCCTCCGCCGCCTCTGCTTATGTTTCTCCTCCCCCGCCTGCTCCTCCTCCTCCTCCGCCTCCTCCTCCTCCTCCGCCGCCTTTGCTTCTGCTTCTGTTTCTTCTTCCTACTTGCGCAGTGTACGGTTAGGCAGGAGCGCCACGGGGCCCAGCGGCAGCTTGCAGGGGGCCCGGGGCCATGACCCCAACGCCCAGGGGTCCCCCTTGCTAGCGGGGGCGGGGACCCACTCTGGTGTCCCTGGGCGTCTTTACGAGGAGGAAGAGAACAGTAGATAGAAGAAGGGGAACTGTAGGAGGAAGGGGAGGAGGAGGAGGAGGAGGAGGAGGAGGAGGAGAAGGAGGAGCAGGAGGAGCAGGAGGAGCAGCAGGAGGATGATGACGAGGAGGAGGAGCAGGTAGGAGGTAGGAGGCAGGAGGAGAGAGGAGGAGGGAGGAGGAGGAGGAAGAGGAGGACGAGGAGGACCAGTGTAAACCCAAGAGTCATCAACGATATTGGAGTAAACCCTTCCTCCAAGCTCCCTCTTAACAGGCCCCATAAACGGTTGATTTCCATTGAGGGAACCGCCTCGTTCGAAAACAACCGTTTGAAGACCCTTAAGCATGCGAAAACATTGTTCTCGGGATTCCAACGCCACGGATGAACCTTACTGTTGCGTCTTGACGATCCTGAATCGTGCCAGAACGCCATTCTTGGGACTTCAGCGAATCAGCGTAATTCTTGCACCCGCATAATCCTGAATCCTTTCAAAGCGCAAATTTCTGGTACGCTGATGATGGGGAATCCGTGAAACTCTTGCATTTTGTATCCACGAATGTGCGCGGCGCTAAGGCGAGAGCCACATTGTGGAAATGCACCGCCCTCAAGACGTGAAGCTCCTGCAAGCGTTTAAAAAGAATGTGCGCCGCGCCATGGCGAGAGCCACATGTTGAAAAGAAACCGCCCTCAATCCGTGAAGCTCTTTTGCAATTTTTGAAATCGAATGTGCGCCGAGCTAATGCGAGCGCCACATGTTGACAAGGAACCACCCTCAATCCGTGAAGCTCCTGCAATGGCTTCAAGACGAGTGTGTCCCGCGCCGAGGCGAGCGAGGGCCACGTTTTGAGAGCCACCCGCCCTCCATCCGTGCAGCGGTTGCCACTGCTTAAGCTTCAGAGTCGTAAGTGGTGAGGAAGTCTCGGGCGAGGAGGAGGAGGAGGAGGAGGAGGACGAGGAGGAGCAGGAGGAGGAGGAGGAGGAGGAGGAGGAGGAGGAGGAGGAGGAGGAGGAGGAGTGACCGAGCGCGGTCCCCTGCTCGCAGAGTGCCCACTTCGCAAACGCGAGCGCCCGAGGCGGCGGTGCATTCTAGGGCCGCCGAGCGGGGATCTGGGGCGCGGGCTCGGGCCAGGGTCTAGAGCCACGCGACGCCCCTGCGCGACATCGATTGCTCCCGCGGCTAGACCGCGGCGTGGTCTGTAAGCGACGTCGCCGCTCCCGCCCCCGAACTCTTTCCAGCGCTGGCCGCGGTCTGTTTTTCCGGCGCGCGCCCGAGGCTTTTCTTCGGTTAGCTGGCGTGTTCAGCGCTCGGCCTTGTCACTTTTTCTGTCGCGCGCCCTGGGGGAGTCGCTGGCGCGCGTATTTTCGGCGCTGGCCACTCGTAGCGTTTGCGCAGGCCTGGCCCGCTCGTCGCGGCCAAACGTGCTGTTCGCTGGTGGGCGTCTGCGTCGCGCGCTGGCGTTCTTTCCAACTGCGGCCTTTTGGTTATTCCCTCCCGCGGCCCCGCCATTGTTTCCAACGGCTGCCTCGCTGCCACGAATAGTTGTTCCTTCTGATGGCATCGGACAGGTGCGTTTTTTTATTACCCAGTCAACGAGGATACTTTAAATGAGTTTCCAAGTTGTACTCTTTCCAGCTTCCCTGTATGTCTGCGTCGATGTAATGTATCGCGGATCCCCCATGGTGGATCCAGGCCATTTGCGAGTAGTTACCTTGCGAGCAGCGGAATCCGCTTCTCTAAGGAGGAGGAGGAGGAGGAGGAGGAGGAGGAGGAGGAGGAGTAGGAGGAAGTGGTAGGGTAGGATGAGGAGGGAGGAGGACGAGGAAGGAGGAGGAGGAGGAGAAGGAGGAGGAGGAGTAGGGAAGAGGAAGAGGAGAGGAAGAGGAAGAGAGGAGGAGTAGAGGAGGAGGAGGAGGAGAGGGGAGGAGAGGAGGAGGAGGAGGAGGAGGTAGTGATGAGGAAGAGGAGGAGGAGGAGGAGGAGGAAGGTGGAGGAGGTAGGAGGGAGGAGGAGGTGGAGGAGGGAGGAGAAGAAGGAGGAGGAGGAGGAGGAGGCGGCGACGACGACGGCGGCGGCGCCCAGGCACAGGCTTCCAGAGCGGATGCGCCCAGGTGGTCTACGTGCCGGTCCTGGTTCCGCTCAGGCGCCGGCCGGGCCCCGCGGCCGTCGGCCGCGATCGCCGCCGTCGTCGCCGCCCGCCGCTGTCGAGAGGGAGGGAAAAAGGAAGAGGCGGAGGAGGAGGAGGATGAGGAGGAGAAGGAGGAGGAGAAGGAGGAGGAGCAGCAGGAGCAGCAGGAGCAGCAGGAGCAGGAGCAGGAGCAGGAGGAGGAGGAGGAGGAGGAGG